AAAAATAGTCATTTTTAAAGAAAACAAAGCATGAACACATGTTACTGTGCACCCCACAAACACAATCAAGCCTCCAAAAAAATGTGTTTTACCACCCCTTTACAACTGCAGTGAACCAAAGCCATCTCTGGTGTTTCTGACGTTTCAAACTATCTTGTAACCAATCATGTCAATTGTGTGTCAAACGTCAAACACACTCAATTGTTCGTGGATCTCTGAGCTGTACTGAATGGAGGTGGGGCAAATTTGCTAATTCACAGAACCGTATACTATAGCAAGTAAGGCAAGGGTGTAGTGTTGCATTCAAGCTAATTAGGGCAAGAATCTTTTTCAAGGAAACATTTTAAATGTCATTTTGGGTGATCAAAGATGTGTTTTAAGGAATAAGATATTTAACTAGTACTAACCCTGAACCTACCCCTGTTCCATGTACTTACCTTATATTAGCCAGTACATTCTGGTAAGTACACTGTAAAAGGAAGTGTTACCGAAAATTGCATGTATGGGTAATGCTGCTCTATTACCTATATAAGCCCGCCCCTCATTTCCATCCTGTGGCTGCTGCTCTGAAACTGCTGGCTTCTGGATACTATTGCTAGCCACTGAATCAGTTTTCTCCCCTAATATTCAGCAGACAAAATCTGCAAGGATTGATCGACAGTACTTTCAGATGAATCCAAAGGAAAGTACTAAGAAGGGTGTCAAGGACAGTACAGGAATTAGTGATGAAGATATTTGTGATCAGGACAGTGTGGCCAGCAGTGTGGACAGCACAGCAGAGGAGATGTTTATGGATGGCCTTGACTCTGTTTTAGATCGGTGAGTTTTTCTACACATTTTCTTGATGGTTTTAAATATATTTTAGCACTTATGATGTGGGTTGAAAATGGTTTGAAATCGAATTGTATTTTTGTATCTCTTACCATTTTTTTATTATTATTATTTATTACAAATGTGCTTTGCTATCATAACAGTAAGTGTGGGGGTTTGATGTAAAGTTGTAGATTTATAAATAAATAATTATGTTGCAAAGTTCCTAGTTCAGGTAAGGAGGCGGGGAGAACTGTCGATGGAGGCGGAATCCTTCATCTCTGATTTCGGCACCAATGTAGCAAAGTTCAGGGAAGGGGAGGCAGGAACTGGTGAATGTTCAACGTAAAGTTTAATAAAGCAAAAAACAAAGAACCAAGTGAAAGTCAGAGGCATGGTCCTTTTTCTCCTTTCACTGTTGTCAGTCCAGTGGTTTAGTTCAAATTTTCTGAAGACATGACGTTTTATACGATGAATGTTTCCATCCAGCAATGCGCACATTAGTTGTGCTAAACAGAAGCTCAAGCGTGTTCGCTTGACTTGCGAGAACCAATTTGGTTAATTCTAGTGTAACGCAGCCTGTTTGATCTTCTGCAAAAACGAATCAGGTTTGTCCTCTCGCAACAAGCAGATTCGGTTGAGTTTCTGTTTTTTTGCTTATTAAAGTTTATATTTGAATAAAAGCCTAAATTGAATCTGTTCATCATATTAAGTGAACTTTCTCCTCATTCAATTTGTACAAGTTTTATGATTTCTGTATGAACTTTTTGAAGTGTCAGTGGTAGTTGAGTAGCTGTCAATGGAGAGACTGAACTCTCTTCAGTTGTGTGAGAATTTGCATGTTTATTCATCCTTCCATTTATTTATTTATTTTTTGCACATTGGTCTGAATAGTGAAATTGAATACAAAAATCAAATCAAATATTTGTTTTGAGGTGAACTGGCCGTTAGTCAGTTCACAGAACTTCACACCAACCGCTAGTCGTTAGAGTTGTGAAGTATGTTGCTAATTCCTTTTTTTATTTCTTGTATCATTGAAAAGGCCTTCATTTGACATTTACCCCCCAGAGGAGGACGACTGTGATTCAGAGGACAGCCTACGGCAGAGAAAGAGACACCGTCTATCTTCCACTGCTGATAAGGATGGCAGGGAGAGTAAAAATGATGGTTTCTCTGTTGTATCAACAGAAAGGTGGCGCTTCTCAGATGAAGTAGATGTTGAACCACTTCAGTTGGATTTTACTCCTGTCCAAGAACCTGGGCCAAAGTTTTTACCGAGTTGGTGCAGCAATCCTTTGCAGTTTTTTCAGCTGTTGTTTTCAAAAACAATGTTGCAAACCATTGTAGAACATACAAATGACTATGGAGCCAAGCACCAAAAGAGAAACGGCAAGGTCTGGGAATATATTAGTCATAAGGACTTGAAGTCGTACATAGCCCTGGTCATTTACATGAGTATGTTCAAGTGCTCTTCGCTGACTGACTATTGGAGTGTTTCCCAGCACTTCAGTCTGTCCTTTCCTGCAAAAGTCATGTCTTACCAGAAATTTCTGTCAATCTCTAAAGCTCTTCATCTAAGCGACAGCAGGGAGGATGAGAAGAACCGCGTTAGGAGGGGAACATCAGCCTTTGAACGCTTGGGTAAAATTCAACCCCTGTATCAAGTCGTTAGGGAGGCTTGCAAGACATTTTTTCATCCTTTTCAGAGAATCACCATTGTTGAAAGAATGGTGACATCGCAGCCTAGAACTGGACTCAAGCGATGCTTGAAAAATGAATCTCCAAACATGGGGTACAAACTCTTTGCACTGACAGACTGCACCTCTGGCTATACGTGGGACTTCTTTATTTACGAGGGGAAGTCGTGTTCTTCACAGAGCGAGGGCTTGAGTTATGAGTCCGTTATGGCATTGGTGGATGAAAATATGTTGGGCTCTGGGTACAAACTGTTCGTAGACAAATTTTACACCAGCGCCACACTCTTCAGTGACCTCTTGTGTAAAAAGGTCTGGGCTTGTGGCCCTGTATGGGCAAACAGGGCAGGTTTCCCAAAAACAACTGTGAACAGACTAAGACGGAACGCTCCGCGCGGCACCATGCGTTGGATTAGAACTGATAAGCTGCTGTTTGTTGAGTGGAAAGACTTGCATGAAGTGCAGATGTGCTCCACCTTCCATAAAGCCTATGAAGGAGATACTGTGCAGAGGAAGGTGAAGGGTGACGCTCAAACGACCCATGTGGAGGTCCCCATTCCAGCTGTGGTGTTGGAGTACAAGAAGTAAGTAATACTTATTCAGATACAAACTTGCAATTGTGAGAAATAAGCTTCCATAATTTACTCTAATTAATTGTTTAAAGTTTGAAATAAGCATTTTATATTTCCACTTAGGACCATGGAGGCAGTGGATCTATCTAATTGCATTACTGGACATTACAGAGTTCTACATAAACCGAAGAAGTGGTATCAATGTGTTTTTTATCACTTTTTGGACATTACTGTAGAGAATGCATTCATCTTGCAGGAACTAATGGCTAAGAGAAAGAACATGAAGCCTTTGACTCGAAAGGCATTCTTGGAGATGCTTATTTTAGAGCTTACAGAGATCGGTCCTCAGGATCTGGCACCAGTTTCTTCAGTTCCTCCTCAGTAGTTCCCTCTTCTTTCTACAAGCCAAAGAACATCACACCGGACAACACGGGTAGAAGGAAGTGCAAGTTCTGCAACCAGACAACTCTTGTAATGTTGTGCTTTCAGCCTGAGAGGGACTCTTTCAATGACTGGCATGAAAAACGAGGCTTTTGATTTATGGCTTCAGTGAATGTTACTATGTTAAGAGTCATTTTTGTGCCATGTTAACAGTTTTAGATGCAATGCTTAATTCCAATGATCAGAATATGTGAAAGACATCTGACCTCAAAAAAGGTCAATTGTAAACTGGATAAATATGTTTTGAATCGTATTAAATTATCTAAATTCAATTCATATTTATTTGTATAGAGCTTTTCACGATACATATTGTTTCAAAGCAGCTTTACAGAAAGTGCATTTCTGAAATGTACATGGAAAAATCCATTTAGTTAATCATGTAATAATTTAGGGTATAACATATCGCCGGCGTTGAGTCTTCTCTTCACAGGCATTTAGTCGTCTCATCGCAGGTGTTGAGGCATCTGAGGTCTCCGTGAGAGGCTGGATACTGGAGCTGACGACCGCCATTTTCCTCGGGACTCGTGTCCCGAGATAACGGCAGAAAAGCAAATGGAAAATAATTAGCATAGACGAGAGTAGATGTTAAAAACTTGAAGACAGTGACTCTGGCGTCCCGTCCCCCACTCAACTCAGCCCAGCTTACTGACCTCTACATCCCTCCTGCTGCTGAGACCAAACCACAATCTCTCCGCAACCCAACCTTACGCGCCAACCCGTTTGACTAAGTCTGTCGAGCCCCACTGGTGCGTTAATGCAGTTTCAGTGGCAACGGTTCCATATGGCATACCACTTACCGCAAAACACAATATCTGCCCAACCACCCCTCATTCACGCAATATATACAGGAACGTAATGACTGTTTATAAAATTTATGTTTACGTAAATTTTATGATTCATGTATAATATTATTAACTGGCTGAAAAACAACAGCAGAACCACATGACCAGCAGTTTTATTAGAAACTTCAGCCACAGGGTGGAAGTGAGGGGGGAAGTTGCGATTACAAATGATGGTTCACTTTTTCTACATGGACTTGTATCATATCAATATTTAACAATACTTTATTAAAAGTCACGTTTCTGGTCATACATGCATGAGATACAATAAGCATCTATCCTATTAAACATTGTCAATGTTAAAGGATACAATTCAATGATATATGCTACAAGAAGACTATTTTTATTTTAAAACTATATTATTGAATGTGTAACCGGTTGTAAAGTGTTTCCCATTTGATTATATGTGGTTGTATTTCAACGCATTCTCATCCTTTAACGTCATATAGAACGCTATATGACAAAACGGCGCTATACTACGCACATAGCACCCGTTATCGTTAATATAACACGCTCTGTGAGGGCTAAGTTTAGGTGTGGGGTAGGGTGTGCGTGTCATATTCACGCTAAAGGATTTATAACGTCTTGGGTTCGCGTGTTATATTAACGATAAAGGGTGCCATGTGCGTAGTATAGCGGGCTGTGTATTTCCTTATACAATTACAAATAATACAACTTGAAGACACAGCATGTGACATAGGCCTTTAATGTCAAATATACTGCAATCATGAAATACAAATACAAAGTCTTGAGTAAAACATGCATTTATTTGCATGAAACCAATAGAGCATTTATAAAAAAAGATATATAGCTTAATTAATAAGAATAATGTATTTACTTTGACATACAAAAAAAAAAAACTGGTAGTACAACACCCAAATAAAACTTGAAATGGACTGAAAACATGATGACTGTAGGGATTTTTTTTTTTTTTTAGTGAGCAATCAGCTTGGGAAATTAAAAGTAGGCTACATCTCCGTCTCTTGATCAGTGTTTACCGAGCTTGATAACTGATGAAATTGTTAAAAAGAACAGCCAAACATCAGTTCACTAGTAAAATATGTTGTTTAAATTGTGCCTTTAGTTATTATGCTGGAATCAATGAAAAATTCTTAAACTAACATTAGTTTTATACTTGGTTTTAACTAATAAAATTTGAATTACATAGTTTACAAAACATAATTATATTGGGTTTCTCTAGTTTATGTGGATATTTAACCATGAAGATGTGACAACATTAATGTGATATATAGCTACTAATGTTTTATTAGACCAAAGGTTAATTTTGCGCCGGAGTTCCTCCTTAGCTAGTTACGCTTTTGGGACCACAGTAGGTAACTAGTACGACAATATGTGTGTATCTAGTTAACTAAACTAGGCTAAAAAAAAAAACAATTCCTAGTTTGGAGAAGCAGAAGTTTTGGAGTGTTACATAAAAGAAAACAAAATTTCAATTATTATTGTTTTTGTTTTTTTCTTATTTGGATATTATATATTATTATGGATATTATATTTTATTATCTTTATTTTGTTTTTCTATATCAATGTTCAGAAGTTATAGATGCAAGAATAACAACATCAAATTTCCAGGCACAGTGCTAAGGCTTTAAATAAAATGCACTTTTTACACTTTGTTACACAATGGAGTCTTGATTTTTTTTTTTTTTTTTTTCTGTGAAGACCCAGTGTCCACATATGTGGCCATCATACGGTCTAAGAACTGTATCATGTATAATGAGCGCTGTAGCTCATTTAGGAGTTCATTGTGGCAGAATCGGTATAATCAGACCTAACATACTTGAGAAAAAAACTTCTGTTTTGGCTTGTTTTACTCTTAAGAAAAGTCTCATAGTAACATTTTTTTTCATTTGTAGATAGCTTTGATATGAAATAAGGGCCAGGGGCTCAGCTACATCAATTGAGAAAAAAATCCTCCTATTTGGTGTTTAAAATATGTAGAAAAATGGGGTGGAAAAAAATGTGACCTAATTCGGATAAAATGGAATAAAAATAAATAGTAATAAAAAAATATAGTGTAATGTACGTCCTGAGCCTAGATGGACGCGATAAATTTAAAAGTCGCGACTGTGTCACTTCAATTAAAAACCCCGCCGCCAGAGCCATGTATGGCTCTGCCCCCCGCGATTGTGACATCATAGTGCGCGTCACTGTCACTGCAGAGCAAATGGGTGGAGCTTACGTTTTGTTCCTCAAGCACAGCCTGAACCGATTCGCGGGAATTTTTTTTCTTTTTTTTTTCTCCGATTTGCGGGAAAATGAAATACTTCTTCCTTTCACTCATCACGCCACTTCCTGGACTCTCGCGCTGATAAGAAGTTTAACGGTCTGAAATGAACACCGTTGTGATATCCCTCTCACCCTAGCACGTGAGTTATGTCATTTTATGGTAGATATTCGAAACAATGCCAGCTATGCGGTGCAGTCTTGTGGTTTGTTTGTTTGTTTGTTTGTTTGTTTATTTACCTAACACGTACACTGGCAACTGATTATTCAACAGCAAACATCCGCAAGGATTGATCTTCAGTACCCTCCCGATGAATCCGAAGGAAAGTACTGGGAATGGTGTGGACAGTACGGGAAGTAGTGATGAAGATCCTATTTGTGACCAGGACAGTGTGGCCAGCAGTGTGGACAGCACAGCAGAGGAGATGTTTATGGATGGTCTTGACCCTGTTCTAGATCGGTGAGTTTTTCTACACATTGATGTTTTTTAATGTATTTTAGCGATTACATTTATGATTTGGTGTGTAAATATTATCCTTAATGCAAAGATGTCCATGCAATATAATTGTATGGACATCCTTTACTAAAAAATGTACATTGCTTTGCTATAATAACAAGAACAATAGCTATAGAGCATGTTTTCGAATATAAGAAATAATAAAACTCCAGAATCAACCTGCCACAATTCCCAATAGTTATGTTGTTCAGAACACAAATTAATATATTTTTTTTACCGGAGAGGTTTCGGTCCCTCCATTTAAACTCCTGGTAACCAAAAAAGAAAGAAAAGATGTAATGAAGGCATTATTTAAACAAATCCATATGAAGCAAGCAGTTCAATCCTAGTCTTATGAAGAGGTACAATCCCTTTACAGAGTAAGACATAGTTATAAATTTGACTAAATAATAATAAATAAAAAAGTTGGTTTATTACATATAAACTTAAAGGCCTATTAACAGATTAGTATTAAAGGGACACTTCACCTATTTGCATTTGCATCAATTTTTGAATGGTCATGGTTTATTCACTTATTTTCCCCTGAGATGGGAGAAATAAGGATTTAAGTGTTTTATTTCCTGCTTATGACGTAAAAATCGTAATTTTGCGTCATATGCAGGAAGTTACATTTGAAAAGTGTAGAGACTACAAGTATTAGCTCATTATTATTCAAGGGTGTGGGACCCACTCACCCTACAGGCCAATTACAGATCAGTGGGTGGGGCTTCACTTGTTGTTTCGCTAAGTGGCAATGAATATCATAGAAAAAAAATCTTGTTTGAAGTCAGTAAAAAAACCTGAACGGCTGTGCTTTTCTATAAGCGGCACCTGCTTTCAGAGAGTGAATTGGCATGTTGGTCAGCCTCTTTCATTTTTTATGCATTGGTCTAAGCAAATACATCAAATTCAAAAATCAATGTGTTGGTGTAAAACATGATAGAATTCAACAGATTTGTAAAATACACTACTAATCCTGTTTTTTTTTCTTCTTCTTGTATCATGCAATAGGCCTTCATGTGACATTTACACACCAGAGGAGGACTGTGATTCAGAGTCCTTCACATCTTCCACTGCTGATAAGGATGGCATGGAGAGTGAAAATGATGGTTTCTCTGTTGTATCAACAGAAAGGTGGCACAGCTCAGATGAAGCAGATGTTGAACCGCTTCAGCTGGATTTCACTCCTGTCCAAGAACCTGGGCCAAAGTTTTTACCAAAAAGGCTTAAAAGTCCTCTTCAGTTTTTTCAACTGTTGTTTCCAAAGACAATGATGCAATCTATTGTAGCGCACACAAATGACTATGGGACCAAGTGCAGTGATGTGAGTGATCATTGGCTCTACGTTTCTCCGAAAGACTTGAAGTCGTACATAGGACTGGTCATTTACACATGTCTCGTGAAGTGCTCTTTGCTGACAGAATATTGGAGAGAATCACAGTTCAGTCCACCCTTTCCTGCACAAGTCATGTCTTATCAAAAATTTGTGACAATCGCCAATGCTCTTCATTTCAGTAATACCCAGGAAGATGAGAAAAATGACTTGAAGAAGGGAACATCAGCCTATGAACGGTTGGGTAAAATTCTACCTCTATATCAAGGCATTAGGGAGGCTTGCAAGACTTACTTCCATCCCTTTCAGAACATCACCATTGATGAAAGAATAGTAGCAGCACAGCCTAGAACTCGACTCAAACGACGCATCGAAAACCAATCTGCTGATAGAGGATACAAACTCTTTGCACTGACAGACTGCACCTCTGGCTATACGTGGGACTTCTTTATCCACGAGGGGAAGTCGTGTTCTTCACAGAGCGAGGGCTTGAGTTATGAGTCCGTTATGGCATTGGTGGATGAAAATATGTTGGGCTCTGGGTACAAACTGTTCGTAGACAAATTTTACACCAGCGCCACACTCTTCAGTGACCTCTTGTGTAAAAAGGTCTGGGCTTGTGGCCCTGTATGGGCAAACAGGGCAGGTTTCCCAAAAACAACTGTGAACAGACTGTCAAGGACCGCCCCGCGCGGCACCATGCGTTGGATTAGGGATGACGAGCTGCTGTTTGTTGAGTGGAAAGACTCGCAGCAAGTGCAGATGTGCTCCACCTTCCATAAAGCCTATGAAGGAGATACCGTGCAGAGGAAGGTGAAGGGTGACGCTCAACCGACCCATGTGGAGGTCCCCATTCCAGCTGTGGTGTTGGACTACAACAGGTTAGTAGAATTTCAATTTTGTTCTTTTGCCTATTTCTTGAAGTTGGTTTCAGAGGCTACCCAGGGAAGTTTAGTTCTCTCTCTACACAGTTTAGTCTAACTCTACACAGCCTAACTGTTCCAGATCCGGTTTTATTCTGGGTGGGAGATCGCAAACTTAACCTGGGCAAATCAGCTGTGAGCAAAGTTACACATCTGATGCAATAAAGCTCCTCCCCCTGGATCTCTTGCTGCCTATAAAAGCAGTTCAGAATCATGAAATTTCCTTAGTATTTATTATATTTATTTTATTTTACATCTTTAATACATAACCACAGATAGGCAACTATATTTTGACAATTAATATCCAACTTTTAATTTAAATTTTTAAAATCGCTTAATGTATTTTTTTCCCCTTTTAAAGAAGTTCACTTTTTAAAAAACTTTTGCTGATATTTTACTCACCCCCATGCCATCCAAGATGTCCTTGTCTTTCTTTCTTCAGTCGAAAAGAAATTAAGGTATTTGATGAAAACATTCCAGGATTTTTCTCCATATAATGCACTTTACTGGGTACCAAACGGTTCAATGTCCAAAAGACAGTTTCAGTGCAAACTGTTCAAAGGGCTTTAAACGATTCCTGCGAAACGATCGCTCATTTAAAAACAAAAAACAAAGTTTAAGTTTTATAAGCTGAAATGGTCGCCTTGCTCTGTGATGCGTGTTCGTGACTCTCCTGTTCGAAGTCGTATATCAAAATGAATAAATCTTTTTTCGAGTCATTTGGTTCTCTCAACGAAAAAAGATTTGTTCGTTTTGATGAACGAGTTCGAACAGGAGGGTCACGAACATGCAAACTGTCTTTTGGACCTTGAAACGTTTGGTACCCAGTAAAGTGCATTATATCGAGAAAAAATCCTGTAATGTTTTCATCAAAAACTTTCATTTCTTTTCGACTGAAGAAAGAAAGACATCTTGGGTGACATGGGGGTGAGTAAATTATCAGCAATTTTTTTTTAAAGTGAACTACTCCTTTAATCTCTTAATAAATCAAAGTAAATTAAATGTACTCAGTTGATTCACTTGCAGTAGTAAAGTATTATTATATTTATATTAATATATTATTATTTTTTTAGGTATCTTCTCAAGCTTTATGCTTTGTAAATGCATTTAAATTCATGATCTCTTTATCTTCTGTAGAAAAGTGAATTGTGCAGACTCTCTCATAAGACATCAAACTGATGCTCTCAGTGTTTAGTGTGATTGGTGAGGTGAAGATGTCACACTTTCAAGAGCTTCAGAGTTAATTATAATCTTTAGGTTATGTTATCTAAATGGTTCTCTTTTGAGTATAAAAATAGTAGCTTTTTTGTTCTCTCCACCCAGGAACGTGAGGACAGTGGATCCATCCATTTTCGTTACTGGGCATTACAGAGTGCTACACAAACCAAAAAAGTGGTATCAGTGTGTTTTTTATCACCTTTTGGACATCGCCGTGGAGAATGCATTCATTTTGTATGTACTGGTGTCAAAGAGAAAAAAACAAAAAGCATTGACGCGAATCGCATTCCTAGAGAAGCTTGTTTTAGAGCTAACTGAAATGGATGATGATGAGGACAGGTCTGACTCTACACCAGGTCCTTCCTCAGCTTCTCCTCCCGCGACTTCCTCAGCATCTCCTGAATCATCAGTTGCTGAAGGATCCCACAATCCCAAGTACTTCATTTCGGACAGTACTGTTGGTAGACGTAAGTGCAAGCTCTGCCACCAGAAAACTCCAATCATGTGTGCGACTTGCGAAGTGCCACTGTGCTTTCAACCCAAGCGTGACTGTTTTAATAACTGGCATGAACAAGGTGTTTGATTCATGACTGTGTTCAAGGTATGTAAAGGAATGTTTCTCCTACTTTTTCAGGATGCTCGCTTGAATAATTTAAATAAAACTCCTTTGTTCTAAAATTGAAGTAAATATGGGTAGTCTTTTTGTATCTACATTAACAGTCAAAGTGCAAATCCACTTTACTGCAAACTCGGTCTTCTCATTTTTAACAATTGGAAATACTCAACTCTCTCTTCTCTATGCTAACAACTCATTTGAATATCATGCTTTTACACTTACAACTCCCATTAAGATCCATATTGTAGTCATATATCGCCCCCCCAGGTCAACTGGGAAGCGTAGAGGAGCTGGATGTGCTGCTGTCCTCTTTCGCTGAGCGACTGGCGACTTCAACATTCGTCTAGAGAAGCCGTATGCTACAGACTTCATCTCCTAGCCTCTTTTGATCTCAAACGACACATCACCTACCCTAAAATTTACATAAACCCCGCCTTCGGGAACATGCAGTCCATGTTTAGAAGAGGAAGAGTTGTATTAGTACAGCACATTTGGGACTGCTGTCGTATCCGTCTTTTCACACGCAGCAATAGTACGCAACACAAATGCAATAGCATGTAACTGTAGACATATTACAAGAGTTGTAGCAGCGATTTTTAGGTTATCATGAAAGAATTTGCTAATCACACTGTAAAAAAATATTGATGGTATAACTTAAAATTTTAAGGCAACCCAGGTTACTTTTTTAAGTTAATTGAACCGGAAAAAGTGAGTTAATACAATGAAGTAGATTAATTTTACCATCAGGAACTCAAAATATTAAATTATCTCAACTAAATAAGTTATTATAAAGTTGTTTTGACAAAATATGTTGTGATAACAAATCTTGAAAATATTTTTTACAGTGCAAAGACTTGAAGATGGTTAACTCCACATCAGCTACATAAATTCATCAACTAGCCATTCAGAAACGTCCTGTTGCATTCGACATGTTTTCACTTCTTCTTGAGTCTCGTCATCATTGTCCGACAGTTTAAACATAAAAGGCAGATCTCATCCTTTAGCGTCACATAGAACGCTATATGACAAAACGGCGCTGTAGTTCTACGCACATGGCACCCTTTATCGTTAATATAATATAATATCGTAATATGAGACTACCCTAGCCTACCCCACACCTAAACCTACCCATCACAGCGTGTGTTATATTAACGATAACGGGTGCCATGTGCGTAGTATAGCGCCATTTTGTCATATAGCGTTCTATATGACGTTAAAGGATGAGAATGCGTTGGACAGTCAGGTCCTTGGTTTAACATCTCATCTGTCACTTTACTGGGGCATAGAACCCACCCAGACATGAGCACCTCTTCCAGCAGAAATAGCTTTATCGGGAGGTCTGCCATCCAGGTACTGACCATGCTCAACCCTGCTTGGCTTCAGTCGGCGACGGGGCTGATATGAATGAGCATGAAAAATATTTTAATAATATTATTGCCATCAAAATTAAGAATGACAACATGCAGGTCTATGTATTTCTGTGTGAGAAAGGAGACAGCATGTGCTTGATCTTTTTCCTTTGCACATATTTTCCTTTTCAGTAACCAGTGTGACTTTTATTTAGTTTGACTCAGACCAAATATCACAATTGTCCTGTGATAAAACAAGAAAGCTCAAACAGAAGACAGTGTGTCAAAAAATATGAATATTTATTTGAACTATAATCATGATTACACAATTGTTTAATGTAAAAAAGTAACTAACTAGGCTAGTTCATTCAGTCTTACAAGACAGTGATTCTTAACCCTAATGTGCACACAACATGGCTACATTTACACAGTCAGAATCGGCTCTCTCTATCCACAAGTTTCCAAGGGGTGCTCCTGTAAAAAATAAAGTGGGTGAAACTTCCGGTGAGGCGGCGGAAGTAGCATTCCAATGTTATTTTGTGTGTTAGTTATCGAAGAGGCTAGCTGTTTTTCGGAGAATTATTTTACTATTTAAAGACGCAAATCTTTATGAGAGATGAGCTCAGGGACAACATGTGCTGTTCGCGGTTGTATGTATAACCGGACTAAACTAAACGTGATTGTTTTGAACATAAGCTGAAAACGAAATCTGAGTGATCCTCTGAATGTCTCTGATCCTGCCAACGACTGTAGTTTCCATCACCTCCCAAAAGACGACGAATCTTCCTGTGTACATTTGTTTAAATTCTTAATATTCTATAAACTCTATCAGCATGTGATACTGTTCGCTACTGATGTTAAACCTAAACTCAGGATCAAAGCCTGTGTTGACAGAATACCAAATGTGCCAGTAATGTATTCAAGTAGCACATTTATTTATAATTTTGAATAAACTCCAAAGCACAATGACTAAGTGTATTTTTTTTTTTTTATTTTAATTGTTTGTCAGCTCGCACAACTGTCTGTCACCATGCCTTGTCTTGATGAGTATTGATTATTAATAATGTTATTATAATACTCCCAATCAACTACTGCGGACGGTAAAGGTACTGTTATTTCACCCTTTTGAATTTCGTTGAGGTTGTGTTCCCACATCGTTAGCTAGTTTGGATCGCTATAACTTGAATGACTGTCAACTGTTGAATGAACGAGTGTCAAGCATGTCAAATCGCGCTTTGTTTACTTCCAACCGGAAGTCGCGCCCACTTTTGACGCAAGGCCTCATGGGGCGTAGGAAACTTGTGGATATACAACAGCAGACAGAAGCGCATCAAATAATAACAACAGGTAACCAAAGTCAAACCCTTTCGATTTCCAATAGCCCAGAGTAATGCCTGTTATATAATAGTAATATCATGACTTTGTATTGCATCTTTGAGGATTACAACAGAATTCTCTTTGGTAGTTTATGTTCTTTTGGTTCTGACTTCGGTGTAAGTAGTGAAGTCGGAACTCTGCAATCTCTTTTTCTTCAGCATGGACAGCGTGTTCAATGATGCGTAACAAACTTCATCTTCTCGCTGGAAAATATCAACAACATTAATATGCAAAATACAAATTGTAATATGAAGGGTATATAACTTGTTCAAAATGATACATGTTTGATATATGGGTTGTAATGCAGTACCTCAAAAAAGCTATTCTCAGTCTGTGTTGCTGCAGAAACTACAAAATATTAAAACAAGAGGACTTGATTCAGAAAATATAATCAGCTTTACATTTAAAATATATATAATTGTTCACAAAACATTGTAATATTATACATGGTTCATTTTGTAACACTGGTGATTCAAAGCAAATATTGTGACAAAAAAACAAACAAACAGCTTTAATGAAGGAAAAGGATTCAGGGGTTAATGATCACCTGTAGATTTCCTCTGACAGAGGCAGTACACACTGATGAAGAAGAGAACAACACACACAGGACACACACTGAACAGCAGCTTTGAGTTGAGGTCTGATACAGGAAATGTGGAGGTGATGTTGAACATCTCGGTGTGAGAAGACTTTGACTCTTAATGAAATGAAAGCAAAAGTAACTAAGTCATCACCTGCACATTTTTGAATGCACATACAATTAGTTAAAATTATTATATATTTCAATGGTGTTGTCACTATGAGCATGACTTGTAAATAGTTCAGTCACATCATTACCCAATGGCACAAGCTGATTGGCCTCTGCTGATCCAGCAGCCAATGAGATTGCTCTCTCAACATTTAAATAGTCAGGTTCGTAGTATGAAACTCTCCGGCTAGTTGCCTAGATCTGTCTATTTAAACTGAATCACCTAAGAGGCATCCAGCCTCTCATAAACATGACGTAAAACCCGCATAATTATCTGGTCCGTTTGACTGCTATTACCTCAATGATGCATCTTTATGGATAATATAAGTTTGTCAAAGTTTAAAACGCTAAGATGGAGAGAGTGAACTGTCTTGCTCAGCAATTATTAGATGCTTAATGCGGCCATTCATATTGATCTCAGTTATGTTTCTGACAGGAAGTGTAGACTTAACACATTTACTGAAACAATGGCGTTTTTGCATTAGAGCCCTGTACAAATAGATGACCAGGCATTTCTGTTAGTCAGGACTATGAAAAGAGTTTGAGAAAGCTGATATTCTGTTGACAGTACACGTTTCGGTCTCTTTGCTTAGCATTATGTTTCTCATAAGTGTATTTTGTACTGACACGACTGGTTCAATGCTGTGCACCAGACACATTCACATGTCGCCACAGAGAAGTCTAAAGTCTTTCACAATCTAAGCCAAAATCCAAGTTTTTCATGTTGACACTGTAAAAAAATGGTTGCCTTCAATTATTAAGTATAATAAACTTGGATGTTTAAGTTATTTTAACATAAATTACATTATACTGACTGACTTTTTTACAGTGCATCTCTAAGTTAGTAAAAGAAAGTAGTAGTAATCACAAAATTCTTGCTGTTCCTCATTTGAAAGTCAAATCATCTACTAAATGGCTAAATGTAAATATAATCCCTTTTAGACAAGTCTTAAGTTCGTTTTTTTTATAAGTCTAAATCGAAACTGCAGTTTATGTGTAACTTAAAGGGATACTCCACCTCTGGAAAGATGAATGTGTATATAATGGATCATTTATGTAGAAGAAATGTGAAATTATTTGTGAATTTGGAGCTTTCTAGACTGAGAAAAGCCAGAAAATGTATTTTTGGCTTATGTGGATGAAAGACAACAACTCCCAGAATGCACTTGCTTCCCTGCCCTAGGAGGCCACGCCTACCGGTAACAGCGCAGTAGTTAAACAACAAATCTAGGCTACTAGTGAGTCTCCATGATGAGTCTGCCCGAAAATGTGTTTCGAGATCGCCCAAAATGTCCGGGATTCTGCTTTTGCTTCTACAGTCGCCATTCATTATGTTTACTGTGGCGAGCAGGACGAGACTGAGGGCCGCGGGACAACGGCGTGAGGCCGGTGGCGTGATTACCGATGAATGACACCTGTGAGACGCACCGGTCTCGTATCTGTCACGGATGAGCGGGAATTTTCTTAGCAATGTTAAAACGCACATCAACCGATCACTTGTTTAGCGTTCATGTAAACACTACGTTCAGATTCACCAATCAGAATGAATTCAGTTAGATTGAAACAAAAGGTGTGCATGTAAACAATGAATGGCGACTGCAGAAAGCAAAAGCTGAATCCCGGACATCGACGGCCGGACATATCCGGGAAAAAAAGGATGGTTACCCCTAATACTCAGCTATCTCCACAAAACAGGAGCCTGCTAGCTTAGTTAGCTTCCAAAAAAAGATGGCTGACACTGTGTACATTCTGTGATCCTGGAGACAGACCCTACTACTGACTGTAGTCTTTAGGCTGTGGCCAAAAAAATCCTCAGATGACACAAAATGACGATTTTTGCGTGATCTGAGGATTTTTTCCAGACAAAAAAAATTACGTTAATCTCTCATCTCAGGGGGATGAGGGTGGAAAGCATGGTAATTCAAAAATACTACAGGTTTTTTGCAAATACAAAGCGTAATGCTAAATCCTGAAGTATCCCTTTAAGCCTGGTTCACATTGCCCCAACAAACACTAAGATTTTAAACGGTGAACATGATTTCACCAAGTACAACATGTTCCTGGATCAACATCTTTATTGATCCTGGAACAACGTTCCAATCAACCAACAAAAAAATGAACACTGAAGTTTTCTGCTGTATTTATGTAAGCATAACCATCATGCTCTCACTGACTGACAACACAAACAGGTTAATACAGTGATCGAACAAAACCCACACTGTAAAAAATATTTTTGGTTTATCTTAAAAAGTAAGTAACCTGGTTGCCTTAAAATTTTAAGTTCATTGAACTGGAAAAAGTGAGTTAATACAATGAAGGAGAATGATTTAATCATCAGAAACTCAAAATTATATGTTATCTGAACTAAATAAAATATTTAAGTTGATTTGACAAAAGAAAAAATGTTGTGATTACTACACTGTAAAAAAATATTGTTGGTTTAACTTAAAAAAGTAAGTAACCTGGGTTGCCTTACAATGAAGGAGATTAATTTAATCATCAGAAACTCAAAATAATAAGTTATCTCAACTAAATAAATTATTATAAAGTTGATTTGACAAAAGAAAATATGTTGTGATAACAAATCTTGAAAATATTTTTTTACAGTGTGCAATAAGCATGTCCAGACGGGTTATTGTACCAAAGAACCAGCTCAAAAAGTATGAATAATGAAAGAGCCGACTCAAAAAGAACCAAATGAGGATAACTGGCTTGTTCAGTTCGTTTTAAGTCGGGCAACATGATCGAAAAGCTGACTTTATAACTCAGCCTGTAGGTTTGATTTGTTAATTTCGATCTGGTTCATTGATTCAGGAAATGGACTGGTCATGCTTATTGGCTGTGAACCGACTCGACCTGTTACCCACTAAAAAGAATGATTCGTCCAAGAATTGGCTTTATGCACAGCTGCACTACTTCCTGAACTTAAGCCAGCTCCTTGTTTCCTGTCTGCCATTATTGGACAAATTGATTAATTCAGGTGTGCTTGACCTCAGTAGTAATGGCAACAATAATCAGACACACCTGAATTAATCAAGTTTGGCCAATAATGGAAGACAGGAAACAAGGAGATTAAGTTCAGGAAGTAGTGCAGCTGTGCATAAAGCCAAATGAACATCATAAAAAACCAGTTGATATAGTCAATTAAATTATTTTTTACTTGGACAAAACCAGTTAATTTAGATGTTGCCACATAAAGCACACAAAAAAACAAAAAACGTTTTTTTCTTGCGATTGTTCCTGTGTAAGTAGGCCTACATTTGTACTGCCTCATATTAATACACTAATTAATTATACCACCGTGCATTAAAGGGATAGTTCACCCAAAAATTAAAATTCATCATTTACCCTCAAGTTACAAACCTGTATGAATTTCTTTTTAGTTTGAAGAACATGGTTTAACCAAACGGGTCACCATTGACTTCCATAGTATGGGGCGGAAATACTATGGAAGTCAAATGTTTGGTTACTGACATTCTTCAAAATATCTTTTTTTGTGTTCAGAAGAAGAAATAAATTCATAGAGGTTTGAAACAACTTGAGGGTGCGTAAATGATGACAGAATTTTTATTTTGGGATGAACTATCCCTTTAACTGTTCTGAGAAATGTGTTTTTTATTTTTAAACCATATCCAGATAATCCATTCCTCTGTGTGGTGAAAAGCGAATATATTTTTGGTCCCACTTTATATTAAGTGGCTTTGAATAGGCTACTATGTACTTACATTGAAAAATAAGTACAATGTATTATTTTGTTCCTGTTGTATTGTAAAACACTTTTGCTGCTATTGAGGTGTGATACGGGTAAGGTTAGGGACAGGTGTGGTGGTATGGGTCGGTTTAAGGGTAAGTTAAGGTGTGAGGGGAGGGTCAACTGTGTAATTACAAATGTAATAAATTAGTTACAGCTGTAATTACATGCTGGTATTTTTTAAATATAAGTACAATGTAAAAACATGTATGTACACAATACCTCCATTTTATCAAATTATTAATTTCAATGTAAGTACATAGTACTTAAAGCCACTTAATATAAAGTGGGACCAAAAAAGAAAGTATATTATGTGGAACATATCTTACACTTTGTAAAACATCAGATTACAGTTACAGAAAGTTATAAACAAATATTCATTGCTGTTGAATTTTGATGTAAAATAATGAATCCACAATTTTGATTTTCTGTGATATATATTGTTTCAAAGCATGCTGATTTATAAAATTGTGTGTATATATATATATATATATGTATATATTTGCAGATGCTTGGTGTGTTTTATTGTATTGACAGAGATTTTTAAGATTTAAGTGATTTTTTTTTTTCTAATTGTTTTTTTCCATTTTTGCATGTATATTGTTTCCAATTATAGCCTACATGCAAAAATTTCCATTACAAACTACATTATCAGCATAAAAATTTGACAGGTATAGAAAAATATGGCCTGCAGTTTCTGCAAAGTTTACAAAAATTGACAACCATAAAAGTAGGAATACTTTCTTACCCAAGACAGATAGACGAGTTCTTCTGTTTCCAGACTGGTACTGTGAGCCCATGGCGCGATTAACTTTTCTTTCATCTATTGCACAGTAATATATTCCCTCATCGGAGACACTGACATTCTCTATATGTAGATCATAGGAGTTACTGGATCTGTTTTGCACAAAACTGAAACGTGGAAACATCTGCAGGAACAGTTTTGTAGAGTCTATTAACAGAGATGGTTGATGCTCATGTGAGCAGTTTCTCATCCAAACAATGTGTGATCCAAGAGGATTGTCACAGTCAGAGTAGAGAGTGATGCTGTCTCCTGCTTTAACTCTCATTCTCACTTCTGTCCCAAACACTCTCTGGTGTTCACAGAACAAAACACCTACAAAAGCAAATATACGAATAAAAGATTATCGATCAAATCAATACTAATTTACGTTATAAATAGTGCAAAATAACATTTCAAAAACACACATGGACTTACACACAAATATGATGACTGTTACTCTTGCTCGCTCCATCTCAGTGACTGATAAGATCAGAACGAGGGTCTTCGATGTACATGTCGCCTGGCTGACTGTGATGGGAGGGATTTCTTCTAAAAAGCTTTCATGGTTGGGGACTTTCATTGAGGGTTTTATCAAATGTTAAATATTTGAATTACAACATAGCTTATGTTTCTAATCTGGTTGTAAACTCAAAGAAAGTTTGATTTTGTCAAAGTGCACCTTCATTCTATAAGTGATCATGTTTACCATTTTTACCAAGTATGTGTTACTTTATGCCATACAGTTCATGTCTAAGCGAAGGTGGGTTGATACGATATAACTGGTGACAAAATGTTGAGGTTTAACTAAAAGCCTTTAGAAGAAAATCAGAGGTATCACATTTTACAGGAAGCCTATTGTCACATCCTGTTACATCTAACAACCTTTTTAAATTATTCATACCTCTTTTTTGGCCTGTAAATGCCTTTGAATATTTTGTGCGTGTATTTTATGAGAATATATTTGCTTGTGATTTGCATTCCTGTCACAAGCCTGATAAGATGTACATTTCCCCCCCCACATAAACAGCGTCTAACCACATATTTTTTTCCTTTCCGGTTTTTCGTCTAAACAAATTAACACAGTCACTGGTACAATATGATCATCTAAAGGTTATGGTTTTCCTGTTTCCACATGATTACGTTTGACATGTTTACTTGAAAAAAATATTTTTTCTGCAGGTTACAAATCTAACCTCAAATATGCAGTTGATTACTTGTCTAAACTAAAATGAATGTATATTAACACAAAAAGATAAAGTTAGACACATTCTCAAGAAAACAGTTAACACTGGAAACATTTGTGGTTAAAAATAACATCAAAGCATGATTAACCACTTTACAAGAACCTGTGAGCAGTACTAAACCATCAAAACATACTGGAAACCCGCTTTTTGATAGCATTAAACATTTCTAAAATGATTATAGCTGTCTCATTTCAAAGACTGTGTCCCTCCGGAGGTCACGTGTGTCAGATGCTTACGTCAGCAAGGATGTGCTATGTCAGAGAAGTAACCATTATAAAACTGATTGTTATTCCTTGTGAAGTGCGAATTGTTGTAATTTCCTTAAGACTTTTGAATGTAATGGTTACTTTACTGAAATGAAGCAGCCTTTATGCAGATGCAACCTTCGATATGAGACACAGCTTACAAGTTTAAATCACACTAAAGCTCATTGTTAGGCTACATAGAGAACTACTTAGGTTAGTCAAAATCGTCTGGCATATATATAAACAACAAATTGAAGGTACAAACGATCTTACAGATCATTTATGAAAATAGCTTGGCAAGCTAGCTAGGCTAACGTTAGCTAACAAACTATAAAAAGATCAGTCCATTTGGCAACAATAAATAAATGAATGACATCAAATAAACGATTTAATGTTTTTCATTTGTGCCCATTATTTATATAATTTTCACATTACAAAAGGCAAGGGTATGGTACAGCTAGAATGTATACATAATGTCGACCAATAGTGTTTTAAAACCATGGAAAGAGGTCAATATAACAGCAGGAGAACAATTATGTCACATAACGTTACATTTAGCTCAGAAAAGCCATTTAATGACCATAGCATGTTAATTGAACAGAAAAAATAGCTAGAGGAGATTTTGCTGAGCACTATATTACATAATTATTATATTTTTTACTTGTGTCATTAAATAATTGTTATTATAACAAAAACTGCATTATATTTAATTTAATGTGTTATTTTAAACCTTTAATAATACCAGCAGATTGGGCCCTCTATGTTTACAGCATTAGGCAAATTTACAGACAGGGACAGGCGACCCGGGGTATTTTATGCAGCTCACAATGTTTTCTCTTCCAAATTGAAATTTTACTGCCGCCATTGAAACAATTTATAACGGAACAAGTTTTCCCACTCGACATTATAAAAGTTGTAAGGTTAGTGACAGTCGTAAATCGCGGGCTGTTTATTCCAGTGGATGCAAGTTGCAACTAAATCAATAGGAGGCAATTGGTCAACGCTACCCAGCAACAGCTCAGTTATGGCGCCCACTTACTTCCGGTAGTTTCGGCGGATTCGTCTATGAGGCAATGGCGCAACGCTACCCAGAAACAGCTCAGTTATGGCGCCCGCTTACTTCCGGTAGTTTCACTGGGTACGGTACGCTTGGCACCATTTAAAGCGAGCCGTACCGTGCAGTGGAAAAGCGCCACAAGTGAGCCGTACCGAGCCGAGCCAAGCCGTACTGTTCCATGCGATAGAAAAGCGCCAAAGCATGCCGTACCCTGCCATAACATGCAGTGGAAAAATGCCATTAGTGTTATTTATCAGTGGAGAAGATAAAAAAAAAAAAAATCATCCAGTCGTTCCAGTTGCAGAGTTTGCCGTTGTTAGGCTAGTGCCAATCAACGGTATACTGCTAGCCTGCCAAACAGTTTTTAAAAACAGTTTTACCCACTCCACAGTACACCAAAAGCAAATAAATTATAATGCCATACTATCAATGTACATGTCTGTTGAGAGAATAATGTTAAAAATGTTACTTTTCGGCACAGTACTACTAACTGGAGTAAATTAAAATTCCGCCGTTGCTGAGAAACTAGTTTGTGTAAATGTATTGCGATCATTGAGATGCAAGAGTAGATTGATTTTTAACATTATTCTCTTTAAGACATTTACATCGATAGTCTGGCGTTATAATTTATTTGCTTTTCGTGTACTGTGGAGTGGGTAAAACCTTGGGGCCTTTAAAAAGACACATCACTAATGCACAGGCTGAAGTCTGGAACGCCCAAAGACGACGAAAAGAGTGAACTCCCATTTGGACTGTATAATAAGCACTCTTGAACTGTGCTCAAGCCAATCAAATCCGAGGAATAAATACTGTATATTAACTGACATTAATTGTTTCTTTTATAGCAAAGAATGCATTTTTATAACAATAAAAACAATATGGCAGTATAGCATGAACTGCATTAAAAAGCTTCTAAAACCACAATGGAAACATTAATGATTGGTGAGAGATGAACTAGAAGATAATGAACTGTTTATCTCAGATAATGCATTTGTGCATGCATGCAGAGTGGTCATTCTGAACGAAGAGGTTGTGGGTTTCCTGTTTTGTTAAGTTTTTCATTATTTTCTTTATAAGACACACAACTGTTAATCAAATAAACTCATGAATTTGACTCTTGCTCAGTGATTCTCAATCTGTTCTCAATCTCACTGTGTTCTTATACCTGATTCAACAACTAGAACTACATGGCCTGAATTGTGTATGCGAATTTTGATTTAATTTTGAAAATTATTGAAAGGTTAGTTTACATTTTCACAACAAGTGCTCTTCTGGAATAAATGTATGAAAAGTATTGCTTGATTCAACCAAATTAGGAAACTGTTGACTGTTCTTATTTTAATTCCAGACCCCTTTGTCTCAAGGTATTAAAACTTTCCATTGACGTGAATAGATCAGATAAGAGCAGATGTCTGTAAGACCCTTGCTGTGTCAGTCATTTGTAATCACGAGATGGAGAGATCAAGAAATGCGTTCATCATGCTTTTATGTAAGAAAGATTATACAATTTTTATATTTTATTTAGATTGCTTTTTTTTTCAAAGCAAGTCAATGTCATTATATTTGTGGAAGCACATAATGCAATTTTAAATGCTTTAAAAAGTTATTTTGATCATTTTACAGGTGTTGTTCTGTTCAGTCAGAACCAATATGGTGCAGAAGTGGAGATGAAAGTCAGACCAGGAGACAGCATCACTCTCTACTGTGATCGCTCTATAACTCTTGGTTTCCGCTTTGTATGGATAAGAAACGGCTCTCATGAAAACCAACCCTCTCTCGTAATAGATTTTAGGAAATGGGATCTAGAGTTATTTAAGCGTTACATCTTTGTCCACAACCGCTCCAGTAATTCTCATGATCTACATATTACTAACATCAGTGTGTCTGATCTGGGACTGTATTACTGTGCAGAAGTAGGGAAAGTATATAAAGATAAAGAAGGCATCCTCTTCTCATCTGAAGTGTACTATTATGGAAAACAAACAACTCGTCTCTCTTTTGCAGGTATACAAAAAAAAAAATCTGTTAACTGTTAATTTATTATTATTATGTAAGTCTGTAGAACTGCTCTTGAAAAGAAACAAAAAGAGTATATGAATTGTTTAGTCTACTGTAAAAATGACATATTCTTATGTTTCTTTTAGAGTCAGTGTCTCCAGGGCCGGCCCGAGGCATAAGCGAACTAAGCGGCTGCTTGGGGCCCCCTGGCCACCAGGGGGCCCCCTAATCGAGGTTATTTTTTACTTTTATTTTTTTAGATGACTTAAACAAGTGACATAAATCAATGAATGAATGAATATGACTGAATGAATAGTTCAAGACAACAAAATTCTGATTTAATGGTCAATATACCTGCCTACAAGTTACAACTGCTGCTCTGTCTGCCAGCGTTTAAGTCATACGCATAATCTTCTAGACACCTCGCGCGTGCATAGACAATTCGTGCGCAACTGCGCCTAGTCACGGTATCGGTTTAAGTTGGAGAAAATAGCCCGCAGGAGAACTTATCCTTCAAGGTGTAAGGGTAGCAGTTTGAATAAATAATAAACATAGCAGTTTGAACTCTTCTCCACTTTATTATACCACACATCAGATCTCCAAACACCCGCGACACTCCAGTAGCCTAGCAAGTGCGCACGACCCATCTACGGCAAGCCCCGAGGGGAAAAATACATTGCATACACACATACAACGAGCGCCAGAACATCATAACCGGTATTATAGTAACAGACTGTGTTTATTATGTCATGTACTATATAACAAAGTCTGTTACAATAATAATAATAACAATAATAAAGATTTTGAGGATAGTTACTCTGTATTGAGACAGTTGAGAAATAGGCTAGTAATATTTTTAGTTTTCAACAATAGCTGAGACCCAAAAAGTTTTTTTTTTTTTATTTAGATTTTTTTTTCATGTCATCATCATTGTTTAGAGCATAATAAACAAATGGTAAAAAAAAAAAAAACCTTTTTGAAAAATTATATTTTATTCATATGTAATACTTTGTCCTCTGTAGTGGACACCAGGACTCAGTTGTTAAAATTAAATGACATACAATGTGTATTGTGTAGGCAAAAACAATGGGATTTTTTTTCCAATCACCAATACATTTTGGGGTTTCAGGATTTTTTTGAACTAAAATTTGTATAAAGATGATTATCAACTATGTTATGAAAGATATAATGGAATTAATTGATACACCAATTTACTTTATGCAATATATGGGTCAAATTGGCATAAATTAATATTCCCATTCAATGCAAAGTATCTATACACTGTATCTAATTTGCACATTAATGTGTTCTTGGAGCAACATTTAATGAGAAAAGAAGTGTAAGCATTGGCGTAATAATAAGCAACATTTTAATAATAATATCTAATATGTCATAAGAATATTGACGTATAATTTATTTACATATTCACTTGTTATGTCTCCCAGAATGCCTGATAAACATGATTTATGTCCTGATGTTCTCTACAGTGGACATGAATGAAATCAATGCCCTGTAACGGAAAGTCATTTTTTTCATTTGAAACCCCATAACATTTTCATGAGATGTTGGTTGATGAAATACAATTTGAAAAGTAGTTAGATTTAAATTATAATTACAATATATTACCATATTTCAATAAGAGTGCTACATTTGATCACTAAATTAATGTTAGACATTTTTAAAGACCAAGGAGAAGTTGTTTTCATGGTGAAACCTCCAAACATTTGGTATCTCTGTATTGCCCTGAATGTGCTCTTTACAGGACATCCAGAAAAAAAAATGTGACATGCATGGTGTCATAGAAATACAATAAAATATAATGTCCACTACAGTGGACAAAAGTCTATTCCTGGGTCCCAGGAGGATAGGCCAAAGTATCATTGCTCTTACGTTTCTAATTTCTCAGTTTTGTCATAATTTTAGCAAATAATTTATTGTATATGTTTTGAGACAGTTTTAAGACTGTTTTCAAACTTTTTTATTTAAGTAGGCATCTATTTTTTTATTAATACATAACCTCAGTGTATTCATTTATAATGTATCATTTTTGCGTGACATTTATGTCAATAATCGTCAAACACAGGTGACTCCGCGTCGTGGGAGGGGCCCCCAAATCAAATTCTGCTTAGGGCCCCCAAAAGGCTCGGGCCGGCGCTGAGTGTCTCCTCATGCTGAGCAGTTCAACATCACCTCAACTCTTCCTCTATCAGACTGTGTTCTCTGCTGGACGCTGCTGTTCAGTGTGTGTCCGGTGTGTGTTCTCCTCTCTTCACTCCTGTCCTCCATGTGTGTGTACTGCCTCTGTCGGGCTCAAACTCCAGGTATCTAGATCACTGTTCATCACCTTTATTATGATTTTCCCACTATAAAACCTTATTTCTTTGGTCAGCATTTAAAGCTGAAAATAAAATGAAATTCAGGTCATTTTAAAAAAAAAATGCTGCGACTCTTGTGTCACATACAATATTAAATACTCTATAAAAGTATTTTATTATTTTTGCATATGTTCTGTCAGAAAGTAATTTATGTTCTCAGTTAACAAAGTTCCAAAGTTTTTATTTTTTTAATTTATGTTGTTGAGCTTCTTAAATCTTCTTCTAAGGTTTAAAGTTTGTTATTGGCAACCTATATGATAATATAGGTTAAAATAAAATTTATATAATCAGAAATTACTAATAAAGAAAGCTGCATAGAAGAGTAGCATTTATTTACACGATACTGACATTTTTATGCATTTTATTCATAAAGTTACAATGTTTTTATTTATTTATATTTATAATATTTTCTTAATGGCATATTTCCACATGATCTCTAGGTTCTGAGCAGAGTGCAGACATACTCACAGTGAATTTTATTAAGGTATCTATATTATTTCAGTAATTAGTTTTAAGCTTTGCCATGTCAAAGTATCACCATATATATTTTAGATTGTTTCATGTGCACCTTCAATTCATTTCAGGGGGATCCTCCAGAGAAACATCAGTGTGAGACGAGTAAAACTGGAGAGAACTGCCTCCACACTGAAGTCTCTTATAGACTGCTGACATCTTCATATCCATATGTCAAGATGTGATTCTGTTTGCTCAGTTTAAACAACTTAAACTTGTTGCTTTCTATTGCTCACTGTTTCTATACACAGCAACATCAGCTATGATTCTGAACCTGCTTTTTCTCAAGCATGCTTTCACCACGTTTACATGCACACACGCAGCAAACTTGCAGGACATTTTTATATACAAACACAATTATGACGATACAAAACACATTCAATAATAATAATGAAAAAACAAAAAACAAAAACGCATTTGCCCTTAAAACATCATTCATTTTATTTATTTTATTGGAATAAACAAAATAATAACAATAAAACAGGCTTCAAGTTTTAGCTGAAAAATACCCGACAGATTATTTTTTACAGCATGTTAAAATTGTCCCTTTTTGAGGGTGAGCAAAAACGAGTAGTTTTGTGTGTCCCTTTAAATGCAAATGAGCCTCTGCCCCTGGAGGGCGGAGCTTCAAGAGCTTGTGTGCATTGGAAGCTCCGATTACCTCACACAGACACACTCTGAAATGTCCAGTAGCACCTCAATGCAGAACATAAGATCCACGGGGAGGAGTCGGATCACGATCCAAGGGGTGGAGATGGGTAGGATTAGGGTTGGGTTTAGGGATTAGGGGTGGGTTTAGGGATCAGGGGGCGGAGTTGGTTAGGTTTAGGTGTATGTAAGGTGGGAGGAGTTCGATCTGGATCCGACTCCTCCCCATGGATTTCATGTTCCGCAGTGAGGATCATCTCGAAATGTCAGAAACTTTTCTGCTTTCTATGTTTAAACTGAAGTCAAGAAGAAGTGTAAATATGTAGAATGCAACAGGACGTTATTGAATGGTTAGTTGAGTCATTTATGTACCTGTTCATGTAATGCTGTTCAGTGTGTGTTCTCCTCTCCTCACTCCTGTCCTTTATGTGTGTACTGCCTCTGTCGGGCTCAGACTGCAGGTATCTCGATCACTGTTCATTTCCTTGACACTTTTATTTTGATTATTTCCAATCAAAATATTTTGAATGTTTAAAATACTAACAAAATAAAAAAGGCTTAAAATGATGCTATTACATGTTATTTGCAGGTCAAAATATAAAATAATATCTAAGTAGAAATAATATAACTGTTTATAAGCCATAGTTTGCGTTTTTGTCAAAATGTCATTCTAAATCATAAATGACAAATACAGACTGCTCTGTAAAGCATTTAAAGTGAGTAACAACTTAAATGCAGATCTTATTTTTCCTTTTCAGTGCAGAATCTTAATTTGTTAGCCATATGGGACTAGTAAAAAACGATTCGTTGGCCGAACAACCATTAGGCTACTTATAAAAGTAATTGGATCAAACATAAAAAATTAAGTATTCATAACTTTTCAACGTTTACTTAACATATATAGTGTGTGTAACACAAAAATATAAGTTACTAGGTGCACTCAAATGTATGTATAAATAAAATGAAAAATACATAAGGCATGTCAACTTGCGTCAAAATTAAGTAAATCTAGCATATCATTTTAAGTACTATATGAGCCACGTGATATGCAATTTCCCGTGATGCCTATCCAGACAAAAATTTTAAGCCATTTTATTTCACAGCACATGTGAAGACGTTGAGAAGAGGTAAGCTTATTTTTTGTACTTAGGCCTACATTTATTGCATTTTTGGTCAAGAAATTTACTTTTAACTGAATTTCAGAATTGCTACAAATTTTGCATCAACAATTAGAAACGTGTTACTTACGAATGTAAACGTTTGTAGTCTACATGTTAATGAATGAAATAAGTGTTTTGCACGCGAGTATTTGAAGAGTATATTGTGTTTTTTCAAAATATATGACCATGATGTTGGCTTATGCATTAATGGTGTGTTCACACAGAACGTGAATTTAATTATTTGCGATAGCAGATTACATCAATGCAAAGACGCGAAGACGCATCATTCGCGCCGGGCGTCGCGAATTGGGTGACTCGTTTGCCGCGAACGTCTTCCTCGGTAGAAAAATTTGAACTTGAGCGGGCTGCGGAAGATTCAACGTGTTTGACACGTTCGGTTAGCCTACCAATTCGGACGGCGCTTTCTCCCCCACGGATAGCCTAGATTATAGGCCTATTTTATTAGCGAGTTGTTTTGGATAAAACAAATGTACCTTGCATATTTACAAATTCCCATATTCTCTATCTATACATGGATCGCGGGGAAGGGGGCTTTGGGCGCGGGTTAGCCTACTTTTGGTAACGTTAACATAAATATTACATTCAAAAACACATTGCCTACAGCTCCGTGTGCACAATTTATCATTAAATAATGGCAATCTTGATTCTAGCACAATATTATTCCTAAATAACAGCGACAATTCAGTAAATTAAACCTTCAAAATTATTATCAAAATAAGTAAATACCCTTTAAACAAAAGTTTAGCTTCAAATAAAGATTGTAGATCTTTACTGTTTTCCAGTAGTTACTGTTTACTTGTAACATACATCAACTTGATGCAACCTAAAGAAGGACTAATTTGTTACATTTAGCCTAATTGTTTTTTATTGATTTTTCAAAAAAATAAATATATAGGCCTATATATCTTCCGCCCACCAAGCCTTCATTTCTTTGATCCAAGAAAAAACTGTAATATTGTGACTATTATTATTATTATTATTATAACAACTATTTTCTATTTTAATATATTTTAAGATGCAATTTAAAAGTTTTGGGTAAAAAATAAATAATAAAGTGAAATGCTTTATTGTGTGTGATTTGCATGTTTAATTTATTTTAAGACATGTAAGCTTAAGATCTAAAATAAGTTAAAATGGTTGGTTCAACTGATTTAATTGTCTTATTTTTATATATAAATGAGCTTAAATGTTAAGTAAACAGAACTAAGATTTGTTTTGATCTCACATGGCCTGCACTGTGTTGGATTTACCTAAAAGATATATGCACTATTTTTGCGTCATACTTTTTAAGTAATCCATAATCATTTAATTAAGTAAATTTTTAACTTGGAATAATTTTACATAAAAGAAACTTAAATATTTTAGTTCACGTGACATTCTTTACTTAAAAATATATGTAACGTGATGCATACATTTTTAAGTAAAGAATGTTGCGTGAACTCAAATAATTAAGTACATATAACAAAGATTTTCTTGTTAATTTTAAGTAAAATTATTACAAGTTGGGATTACTTAAAAAGTATGATGCAAAAATGGTGCATATATATTTTAAGTAAATCCAACACATCATTTTTTAGAAACTTTACTGTCACACATCAACAGGATGTTAAAATGGGGTTCTTGTGTGTGTTTGTCTATGCTCACTTCTTTTTCTCTCTTCTCGTGGTCAGCTAAGTGCCAACCATAAACATTTCCACTCGAACATATCAACAGAAATATACCGTAGAATTAAAATGCCACATATTCCATTTGCATAAAGCGAATGAACACAGAAAAGACAGTATTTGCCATGGATCTCTGAGGGAAGACTCAAATGCAGAATGAGTGTTCAGGGGGTTTATTGACAAAACAGCAGAAAAGCAAGATAGTGAGGAAGAGGAGGTGATAAAAAGTCCAAACAGCATTGGACGAGGCACGATGACAGGTGAGCAGGAAAGGCAATCGTAACTAGCTCAAGATGACGGTGGGCTGGAGAGCAGTCCTGATAGGGTAGAACAAGACCAGTGGATACCAGCAATGGCCAGACAGGAACTCGTAGTAAGCCTATTTGTCTTGCAACAAGTAACCTACTTGTCTTGCATCAAGCAACTCTTTTGATATTTTTATAAGTAGCATTAATATAATTGTTACATTTAATTTATTGACACTCTTTATATATGTGAATTATATTATCATAAAACTGAATATTTTGCGTTGTCAGGCTTTCTTTGTGCAGTGCTTAATGGATAAAACTGCACTCAGCTGCTCATAAAGATGGCTGCTGTACATTTTACCTGCCACAAGATGGCGCTGTTTTCGACACAGGAGCACATTTATTTCCTTATTTTATTTACAATGTAATGTTTCGTAATTCCATCTTTTGAACAGATCTCATAGCCTTACTCCAGTTTTGAATTCTCTGCAGCATTAAACAATAAATACATAGTGATTAATTAAAAAAATAATTTGAATAAGAAATAATTAATTATCAAAGGAAAGCAAAACTCATTTAGTGGTTAATATTCTGAACATTTGAGGTGCAGTCAATACTTTCTCCTCATTAAAGTTTAAGAAAAAAAGAAATCCACATAAAACAAATTGGTAGGCTATAATTTCAGAAGTACAAAATATGCTTAAACATGACATGAGATGCCATGGGCAGTCATATTAATAGCCTAATGATTAAGCCTAATAATTATAGCTGTTTTATTTTACATGAAGCGGGTCACCGGGCAGAAATGTTTTGGTGAGTTGATGTCTTTCATGTTGCTACAATCTTTGTCAGTTCCTGTTTGTTGTTGGTTATGTCAGTGACATTAGGTGCCAAAGGATGTAAGTGTTTGCTGTTTATGTGAATTCACAGTGCTATTCACAGGTTCCTTTTCTGGTAAAGAGAGTCTCATCTGCTCTTTGTTTTTCTAGAAGTCTAAACCACAAATGTTTCCATTTGACTTTGTCATTGACCACTTTTGGACGTGCATGTGCACATCTGTGTTATCAGACTAATGTTATTAAGATAAATGTTCATTATTACTTGCAAGGGCATAGGTTTGATTTTGAAATTGGAGCGGACATACCCGGAATCTGAGGATTCAGGAAATATATAGGATAGTTAGCTAGGGCACGTATTATTCCCCTTTTGACGATGTAATATAAAGTCCCTGTGATGTCCTGATTGTGTGAAGGTTTAGCTGAAAATACCCCACATATATTTACAGCATTTTAAAATTGCTACTTTTGGGGGCTGTTTTTGTTTGTATACCTTTAAATGCAAATGAGCTGGTGCTGCCCCCTTTAAGAAGAGGGCGGGGCTTCAAGAGCTTGCATAGCATAATTATAAAACAAAAGAAAACAAAAATAAAAAAAACATACCACACTGAAACGTCCTGTGAAATCATACTTGCAAAGTCTGTGCATGAAATCCGTTCTGGACGATCCTCTTGTTTGTTAACATACTTAATAAGGTTTGAATTGGTATGAAATGGACGCCAGCCATAATATTTGCACGTGAGCAGATGAAACTCGTGCTTATGGTGAGGGGCGTGACATATCCCAAACACATGCTAAGCGGTGCCTATTACAACACACTGGGCCAGGTAACCAATCACAGCGCATTTCATATTTCGGTAGAAGGGGCTTAACCGAAACCGGAACTAACGACGCGTTCGGCCCAGACTAAGGAGAGAGGTGCTGTAATAATGTAAAATATGGCCAAAATATTGTGTTTTTTGAACAATCAAGCATCAAGCAAATCAAGAAATGAGAATAGGATAGTCTTGTACCATATTGATTTATATAAAAAGAGAAAGAAACCCACTAATCATACAAAGAAACTACTGTTCAACTGAGGATGATCACAACTTCCATTTTATGCTAATTTTAATGGTTGTTATAAAAAGCATCACACACTTTTGCATATTGTGTAGTTGATTAATCATATTGACCATCACATGTGTTACTGTTTCTGTTTTAGAATAATGCGGCTGATTTCAGCTCAGTGGACAGCTGTCAGTGTCAGTAACCACAGTATAGACAAGCAGAGCAAACTTCCTTGCAAATGTGTGCAACAAACACACAAAACCACAGAAAGGCTAATGGAAACATTTGTGCCTGCATGGTGACCACTGTGATCAAGTAAGAGTTGTGAAGTTTGAGTTTGAAGACATGTCACAGCAGCAAATGTGAGGCGTATGCTGTAAGTGGTCTAAATATAAGAGCTGTGGTTTCCTGTTTTGACATGTTTACACATTGCTTGTTTGAACCCACTACAATACGACAGAGAACATCACTTTGATTAAAAAAATATTTGACCAATCAAAAGCACAACCTTTCTCAAGTGAAGATGATTATCTGCATGTCTGAAACCAAATTATTTGATTCTAAACACATCCATCATACCTATCAGATATACAAAAGTTGTATCTCTCTTCAGTTCTGTTTGATGATTATTTTCTATTTTTTCGAACCAATCAGATCAATTCAGAGCAAAATAAGTCTATTGGGTAACTAATGATTGGTTAATACTGCTCTTACTCCTTGTACATACACACGATAACCGAATTTAATGACAACCCCCTGTGACGTGAAACATTTTAGAAAAGATTTTCCATTGACGTGAACCAATCAGACGAGAGCTGCCGTCTGTAAGACCCTCATAGTGTCAGTTATTCACAGTCACTCACAGAGATGGAGAGGCCAAGAAATGCTTTCGTCGTGTTTATGTGTAAGAAAAAAGGGGTTATGGGAAAGTTTTCGGCTGTTTTGAGAGTTTTTCAAATGTCAATATTACTGTGCATAATTTTTAATGGTAGTACATTTCAAATTGAAGTGCTTTATCAAGTTATTTTGCACTTTTACAGGTGTTTTGTTGTTCATTCAGATAAGAGTCTATGGAGCAGAAGTGGAGATGAAAGTCAGACCAGGAGACAACATCACTCTCTACTGTGATCGCTCTGTAACTTTTGGTTTCCGCTTTGTATGGATAAGAAACAGCTGTCATGAAAACCAAACCTCTCTCGTAATAGATTTTAGGAAATGGAATCTAGAGATATTTAAGCGTTACAGCTTTGTCCACAACCGCTCCAGTAATTCTCATGATCTACATATTACTAACATCAGTGTGTCTGATCTGGGACTGTATTACTGTGCAGAAATAGAGAATAAGTTAAATAAAGATGAAAAAGGCATCATCTCCTCATCTGAAGTGTACTATTATGGAAACCGAAAAACTCGTCTCTCTTTTGCAGGTGAGAAACATTTCTGCTAATCTTATTATGCTTGATTAATTCTGGAAAACCTTACCTTTCTGTTTGAAGCAAGATGAACAGATCAGAACTATTTTTTGATCAGCATTATTAATATTTATGTTTATTTTATACAGAGAAAGTAACTTTGTGTTCTGGACCCTCAGACATCTCCTCCACACTTCCTCTATCAGACTGTGTTCTCTGCTGGACGCTGCTGTTCAGTGTGTGTCCGGTGTGTGTTCTCCTCTCCTCACTCCTGTCCTCCATATGTGTGTACTGCCTCTGTCGGGCTCAAACTGCAGGTATCTGAATCACTGTTCATTTCCTCGACACCTTTCTTATGATTTTCCCAATATGAAAATGTCTTTGATCAGTGATCAAAGCTGTAAACAAATTATAAATGTGTAAAAATGTGGTTGATTGTTTTTATAGTTGCCATGATGTGAGTTTTTTTGACAAAGCAAATGAAGCTGATTCTGATATAAAAGAAGAGTTTCACATATATTTATTGTTGTTTATAATTAAAATGACAAATTAGAAAGAAAACGATTACAATTATAGCAATTGTACAATTACAATTCAATATATGCGACTGACATTTTTATGTAGCCTATTTAAGATCACATACTTGTTTAAATTTACTTGGTTCAGACTTGCGTTGTTTTCTCACTGGCATATTTCCACACGATCTTTAGGTTCTGAGAGTGCAGAGATACTCACAGCGAATTTTATTAAGGTATCTATATAATTTCAGTAATTACTTTTAAGCTTTGCCATGTCAAAGTAGCCTATATATATATATATATATATATATATATATATATAGTTAAGATTGTTTCATGTGCATATCCAATTCATTTCAGGGGGATCCTCCAGAGAAACATCAGTGTGACACGAGTAAAACTGGAGAGAACTGCCTCCACACTGAAGTCTCTTATAGACTGCTGACGTCTTCATATCCATATGCTAAGATGTGATTCTGCCTGCTCAGTTTAAACACTCTCATCTGTTGCTATAGGGACTGTAGCTGCTTATAGCATTCTTTTTTCGTACATTCCTTTTGGAAATTACTTGCATTAATCACAATAAAGATTGCCACAATATCACCATGTTTGGACTCATTTGCACCTTTTCCCGCCACTAGTTGTCATCATGGTTTCTAATGTGATTTGTCATCACTGTCAGCTGTGTCATTATTAATCACCTAATTTGTCTGTGCATTTAGTCCTGTGTTTTCAGTTGACCCTTGTCCAGTCTTGTTTACGGATGTAGATTTAATACTGTTTGAACATTTATCCACATGCCTTATATGCAGCAAAACTGTTCAAAAGTAGCCTATAGGTCAAGCATGCCTTCAATAAGCACATGGCACATTTTTGGTGTGTTATGATTTACATCTAGCCTATTAACTATTAATATCAAAGCCTTAAAAAAAGGCTTCTAAACCCCTATCTGATTCAATGCTACTCTAACGGGTTTACATTTTATTTTCTTGATAATATTAACATTATTTATTTTCCATCTGTGTTAAGATTATACAGAACACATGTAACAAAATAAAAAATAAAGAAAATAAAAGCTTTATTATTTAGATGTTCCAAGCAGTTAGTCTAAAAGTAAACACATAGAGTTTAGTGTCTCTGTTTTCATCATTAAAGGGTTAGTTCACCCAAAAATGAAAATTAAGTAATTAATTACTCACCCCCATGCTGTTCCAACCCCGTAAGACCTTCGTTCATCTTCGGAACACAAGATATTTTTGATTGAATCTGAGAGCTGGATCAGTCCTAGATAGACTGCCTAAGGGACTGGCTCTTGACGGCCCATAAAGTCATTAAAGAAAAGGTTTAAATATTCCATGTGCCTACAGCGGCTCAATTATAAGTTTATCAAGCGACGAGACTACTTTTTGTGCGAAAAAAACATAAATAACGACTTTATTCCACTATTCCATTACTTCCTTATGGGCGCATGCGCGAGAACTGAGACGAGGACGTTCTCATTCGTCTACTTCTTGTTACCGGCTGCTCACCGCTTAGGTGTTTTACCGCCCCCTACCGTATAAAATGATGTGCTGATATAGCTGGAAACGCAAAACTTTCTGTTTACAAGCAGAGGAAGATGTGCGCTGTGCACTTAAAAGCCTATAATCTTCTCAAAAAACCACAGTGCTCCTTATAATCCGGAGCGCCTTATATATGGATCATCATTTTATACGGTAGGTGGCGGTAAAACTCCTAAGCGGTGAGCAGCCGGTAACAAAAAGTAGACGAATGAGAACGTCCTCGTCTCAGTTCTCGCACATGCGCCCATAAGGAAGTAATGGAATAGTGGAATAAAGTCGTTATTTATGTTTTTTTCGCACAAAAAGTAGTCTCGCGCTTGATAAACTTATAATTGAGCCGCTGTAGGCACATGGAATATTTAAACCTTTTCTTTAATGACTTTATGGGCCGTCAAGAGCCAGTCCCTTAGGCAGTCTATCTAGGACTGATCCAGCTCTCAGATTCAATCAAAAATATATTTATTTGTGTTCCGAAGATGAACGAAGGTCTTACGGGGTTGGAACAGCATGGGGGTGAGTAATTAATGACTTAATTTTCATTTTTGGGTGAACTAACCCTTTAACGCATTTGAAAATGTATCTCAAAATAGGCCTACATTTCAGTGGTAAATTGTAAAATAAAGTTCAGTCAGTATAAAAAGCACAATTTTGTCAAATGTTTAGGCAGAATTGTCTAATATGCTTATGTTATAAGCACGGCCGCATTAACCATAGGGCTAGGCGGGGCTAAAGCCCCGGGGCCCAAGCAAGGAGGGGGCCCGTGATTAGCTGTGGAGCAGAGACTGCGAGCCATCTGATTACCAAAGCCTTACCACGCAACGTCCCTCACAAATTAGCCCTGTTATTTAGTGGCACTTTCCCTTGTTATATTCCATGCATTATCATGGAATCATTATCAATAATAGAGACGTTCGCAAAGACCCGTCTTTTTTAGTATGTGACGAGCCACGAGCCAGGCGGGTCTCACGAGTCATGCATATCATGTTCTCATGCACTCACGCAGTGAAAAATACATCCCGGGGCAAAGACTAACGTTACACCGAGTGATTACGAGAGAGAGTTCAAAGCAGCTTACTGGTGATATGAAACAAAGTCTCGACTTTCAAATATTGTCATTTAAGTAATTTAAACAATACCGTTTTCAAGTTCATATCCACCGACGTTACTGACAGCTTTGTTGTCGGACAAAGTTGCTTATTCGGCGTTATGATTGGCCAGGCCACCTGTCAATCAAACCCCAGTGGGAAGCAGGGCAAAATTGAAACGTCAGGTTTAAATTTGATATGACAAATACATTTATTCTATATTTAACTTGTGAACGATCGACCTGCTGCTGCAAGTAGGCCTGTAGAATCCTATTCTTATTAGAATACATCAACCAATAAATCGCCTTTACTCTTCACTTCATTCTAGTCTATTCTTAAAACACAGCGCCATCATCGACCCCACAAACTTTCGGTAAGTTTGAATATTAACTTGATGGATGTATAATTTTGCTTTTTGTGTTTGATTAAACTCTATATTCGCCTAAAGGACTGGCGATAATGGGTTGGTGTATAGGTCAAACGTGTAAGTTTCACGTTTGAGGGGGTTAAACCGTGACATCTACACGTTTTCCAAAGTGGACCAACGTGATTATTTCACGTCTTGTCGTGATACCGGGTTGCATATCCGGTAGAAACATTTAAATTTTGCTGCGCATCGATGTAAGTTTATCATTTAAATGCGTTTTTAAACATTGTGGTTTGGATACAAATTATTTCAAACTGCTCAGGCACAGTGAGCAGCGGGAGAGAATTCATTTTGTAAATGCTGGTTTTGAGACCATGGTGAACTTGGTGGACGGTTTTGCACAGCGCACTCGAATCTGACTCTGAGGTCTCAAAGTGACAGACGCTGCTAATAAAGATGCTGTCGCCATGTGTGTTAATAATGTTAATCAAACATCAGAAAAAAGTAATTTAACGTTACTGTATTTGACTGAATTACTTTTGCAAAATTAACAAGAATGAATGTTGAATTTATAGTGAAAACCATGTAGGCTATTGTATATTTGATTACTTTATATAATATAATATTATTCAGTGCTTAAAGTTTTTCATAAGTCGATTTATTGTGCCTTTGTTCTATTTTAATTTGTGACTCTTGTCATCAGTAAGCTTGAGATTATTTTCTTAAGCTACTGATATTTTTTGGTGATATTGAAATTGGTCACAATAATTATGAAATTTTAGTCGCAATACATTTTGATATGATAAAAAAATCGTGTTAAAAGTAACATAACTTAACTGTGAAGTATATTATAGATGGATAAAATGACTCGTATAATAATATAACATTTAGCTCATGTAGTTGGTGACCTAAAGTGGTGGGGGGGCCCTGCAGTAACTCATAGCCTCGGGGCCCAGTGAGCTCTTAATACGGCCCTGGTTATAAGCGTGTCTGTGAATTTGAATAAATCTTAAATAAGAGAGGAAATGATGAACACTCAATGGCTCCATCTAGTGGCTAATAGGTCAAACTTATAATAGCAGAGAATGACGTCAAAAACACTTACCCACAAACCATTATTTTTATCAGGACGGGCACAAGAAATCTTGATACGTGCACAAAAGTCAGGAAATGCTTTTATGAAAGATAGACTGCAATAAAATGAATCACATGTGTGCTAAAATTAGTTTCACCCCCACATACTTGATTCATGTTATGCAATGCTCAATTCACGATGAGACGGCACTCAATATTCAAGATAAAAACACTGAATTAAGACATTTATACTTGAATAGTCATTGATCTTCAGTGGCAGGGCAGATACATCATTTGTTTGAGCAGATTGATACAGGACTGTAGACTTTGCATGCAAGTCTTGGGCCTATTACAAAATGCAACAGTGGCGTTAATGCCACAGGATGTAAGAAGTGGTTTTCATGTGTGACTTCAGTGCTATTTAAGGTGTTGTGGAGAGTCAAAAGAAAAAGAGAGTCCAGCCTTCTGTTTGTTTTTCTGTTAAAAGTTAAAACCACAAATGTTTCCAGTGGTCTTTGTGACTGTCTTCTCTTTTTGTGAATACTTAATTCCTTTTTAACATTTTACTTTTACTTTTTTTTTCAAGTTAAAGTTGATCACAAGTCAAAAACCACTCGAGCATAAAAACTCTTTTGCGAATTAATGACTTTTTATTCAAAATTTGGCATTTTCATCTCTCGTTTCTGATGCGATACTTCATAAAAGCGGCTAAAATGGTGATGGAGCTTGTGATCTTCAGTATCTCGTATTCTCCAGCATCTCCTTTGATCCCTCTCCATATTTACCTTCTCCACTTACCTCTTCCCACTTCCGGAATCACTTATCTCAATTCAGGGAAGTGTGTGTCTATCCACTCCAGTACTTCACCAAGTAACCTGGTAAAAGAGAAAAGGCTCTATTTTTCATCTTCCATTACACGCTCACTTCTCTATACCTGCATCACTTACTCGTTCCGTGCAATAAATACCTGCCCGATTCACTAAATCCTCAACCAGGAAATCAGAAAAATATTCAGATACTGAATAAATTAAACCATGGAGAATGGCCAATCTTTAATTCCAGTTTGGGTTACTGGTTTAAGACAAGATAAGAAAATGTATGTCAGACATTGTTCAGTTAATGAGAAATGTATCTTGAAATTTCATGCACTGACCTTGAAGTTATGTAAAATAGTGAATGCGTTTAGAAATGAATTGTTTGTGTGGAGGACCAGAAGTAATTCAGCACATTGGACAGCTCCCAGTGCTAAACCACATCTGCAGAAGAATATCTGAATGATGCAAATGTTTTTGTCCTTCCTGAACATTAAGAAAGTATTAAGAAAAGCCACATCTGCATTAGTACCTTGCAGACATAATTAAAAATATAATCCATTTTTTTTTTAAAAAAAAGTCATTTTTAGCATCCATTTGGCAACAATATTAAATCACACTGTCCTCAATGGCTGCCATAGAGCACCACACACTTCGTCTGACTCTGACTTCGTCTAAAAGTGGATTGCATGTATATGAGACAGATAATTAAATAGAGAAGAGTAACTGAGCTTGTTTGGGTATTGTTAAAGGGGTAGTTCACTTTGAAATACATTTTTTTCAATTTTGATATTTTTAGGCCAAATCGTTCTTGTCTGTCAGTCATATAATGGAGGTATATGGGGTCCAACTCAAAGAGCATGCACAGAGAAGTCCAAATTAAACATGATTTAATGACTCGTAAATGTACACATTGATGGCCTAGGACATGAAACGAGCAGTTTGTGTGAGAAAAAGAGCAGTATTTATATCGTTTTGCCACATCCAAGTAGTCTGAGGGCGAGGGCGCTTCTGTCTGCGCAAGCGCCGGAAAGCCCCAGCAGTGATCTCTTTTTTGGATTTTCCAAGATGGCGCTGCCCATACCCCCCATAAACGGCCTTAAAACCGTTCTTAAGAAAGTCGGTGGGTGACATCACAGGTGCTTTGTTTTGTTTGATTTTTTTACAGTCTATATATATATATATATATATATATATATACACTCTAAAAAATTATAAAAAATGCTGGGTTGTTTTAACCCAACTTTGGGTCAAATATGGACTAACCCAGCCGTTGGGTTAAATTTTTACATTACATTTTTAACCCAGCATTTTGGGTTTGTCCATATTTGACCCAAAATTGGGTTAAAACAACCCAGCATTTTTTAGAGTGTATATATATATATATATATATCATCTTGATCATCTTTTTATTTTTATTTTTTATTGCAAATTAACAAAACAGTAACATACAAGTTAAGAAGTCAGTGACACACATGCAATACAGAAGAGAAAAAAAAAGCACAAAACCAAAACAAAAGCAACAAAATACAAAACAGCCCAACACAGTCATCGACAAAGTGCTGTTTGTAGACACACAAGATCCTATAGATGTTATAGATGGGGGCAATGCGGTAGTATCAATTCAAGGTAAGAATCAACCCAACAATCACAAAAACAACTATAAAATGTTCATATTATTAGTGATGGTAGCATCAATGATAGTGTTCACAATGATAATATTCATGGTAACATAGTAGCATTAGCGCTAGCAATCTACAACAATAGTGACAATTGTACTGATAACAATAACAATACATTTAGCTCAGTCAATATTGTCACCGTACATTTGCTCTAAACTCGCCGCTGCCAGCAACACCCAACCCCCGTAGTTAAGCTTCTAAGCTCCATTGAGTTTCCCTCTAAAAAGTATGCTGGGGCATTTTTGTATTTATGAATGCATGTGAATGATCACAAAATGTAAGATATGGGGGTTAGAAAATGTATATATTTATATCATTTTATGTAGTTAATCGAAGAGTGCCATTTCAGTTTTTCTCCTCCAAAAATCAGCATGATTAAAATGTGATATTAAGTTACTACAACAGTTTAATAAACAATACTTTAATTACAACTACAACATGTTACAGAATAATGTAATATATGAATGAAAAATAGCCTATAAAGAACCTTTGTGCCAAAAGGGTTCTTTCTTGTCATTATAGAACCTTTTTTTTTTTTAGCATAAAAGGTTTTTTGGAGTTGAGTAAAGAACCCTATATGCTTCATATATAGAACATAATGGACCTTTTTTTCTAAGAGTGCACAAGGCATCCTTTTATTTCGGTACTATAATGCAAGCAAACCCTTCTCAGCCACTAGCAAATCTGAAATTAACTCTGAAATGAGTCAAATGCGGTTGTGCGAGCACACATGTTTGCTTGCAGTTTGTGTTCTCCCGAATTTATTTGGAAGTAACAAAAATTCTTTGGGAAAAATTTATCGAGGTAAAAGTATAGGCCTACATTTTATTAAGTAAAATATAGACAACTAAAATATCTCCATTGACTGTAATTAAGAATTATTAGTTTGTTACATTACACAACTGTTCATACTGTACAATCTATATTTTCTATCCCCAAAGGCCTACACTAAGCCCTTAACCTACCCATCACAGAAAACTGAATTATATTTACATGACATTACATTTCCTATATTCTTCTTCAAGAATATATTTCACTTGGAAACACGTCACAATAGGGCAGATGATTGTGAAGATAATATTTTTTATAAAAAAGCATCACACTTTTGTTTATTGTGTAATTGATTTCTCATATGATGCAAAGACCTTCATGTGTTACTTTTTCTGTTTTAGAATAATGCGGCTGATTTCAGCTCAGTGGACAGCTGTTAGTGTCAGTAACAAGCTGAGCAAACTTCCTTGCAAATGTGTGCGTAACAAACACACAAAACCACAGAAAGGCTAATGGAAACATTTGTGACTGCATGGTGACCACTGTGATCAAGTAAGAGTTGTGAAGTTTGAGTTTGAAGACATGTCACAGCAGCAAATGTGAGGCGTATGCTGTAAGTGGTCTAAATATAAGAGCTGTGGTTTCCTGTTTTGACATGTTTACACATTGCTTGTTTGAACCCACTACAATACGACAGAGAACATCACTTTGATTAAAAAAAGATTTGACCAATCAAAAGCACAACCTTTCTCAAGTGAAGATGCTTATCTGCATGTCTGAAACCAAATTATTTGATTCTAAACACATCCATCATACCAATCCGATATACAAAAGTTGTATCTCCCTTAAGTTCTTTTTCGTGATTATTTTCTATTTTTGTGAACTAATCAGAGCAATTCAGAGCAAAAGAAGTCTATTGGGTAACTAATATTTAGTTAATACTGCTCTTACTCCTTGTACATACACACAATAACCGAATTTAATGACAACCCCCTGTGACGTGAGACATTTTAGAAAAGATTTTCCATTGACGGGAACCAATCAGACGAGAGCTGCCGTCTGTAAGACCCTCATAGTGTCAGTTATTCACAGTCGCTCACAGAGATGGAGAGGCCAAGAAATGCTTTCATCGCGTTTATGTGTAAGAAAAAAGGGTTATGGGAAAGTTTTTGGCTGTTTTGAGAGTTTTTCAAATGTCAATATTACATATTTTTGAATGTACATTTCAAATTTAAGTGTTTTATTAAATTATTTTACACTTTTACAGGTGTTTTGTTGTTCATTCACATAAGAGTCTATGGAGCAGAAGTGGAGATGAAAGTCAGACCAGGAGACAACATCACTCTCTACTGTGATCGCTCTGTAACTCTTGGTTTCCTCATTGTATGGATAAGAAACTGCTCTCATGAAAATCAACCCTCTCTCGTAATAAATATTAGGAACGAATGGAAATGGGATCTAGAGATATTTAAGCGTTACAGCTTTGTCTACAACCGCTCCAGTAATTCACATGATCTACATATTACTAACATCAGTGTGTCTGATCTGGGACTGTATTACTGTGCAGAAATAGAGAATAAGGTAAAGGAAGATGAAAAAGGCATCCTCTCCTCATCTGAAGTGTACTATTATGGAAACCGAACAACTCGTCTCTCTTTTGCAGGTAAGAAACATTATTACAAATGCTTATTATTATTACAATATTGCTTGTGTAATTCTGGAGAACTTTCTCAATGAAGGAGTAAGATGAACAGAACAAAAATATATATATATTTTTATTAATATTCATTGATACTTTTTTGTTGTATTGAGCAAATGGCTTCTTGTTCTGAACCCTTTACACCTTATGACTATGCATACAATTAACATTCATTGATATATTTATGTTTATTTTATACAGAGAATGCAACGTGTTCTGGACCCTCAAACATCACCCCCACTCCTCCTCTATCAGACTGTGTTCTCTGCTGGACGCTGATGTTCAGTGTGTGTCCGCTGTGTGTTCTCCTCTCCTCACTCTGTGTGTACTGCCTCGTTCAGAGGAAAACTGCAGGTATCATTCACCATTTCCTACTCTTCTTTTGCATTGCCACAGTTTTAATTTGAATATAAAGAATAAACAGCTTTGTCAATTTGCATACTTTGGAAAAGCAAAGCCTGCACACAAACCATTTACTGTATATGTGATGTTCAAATTTAAACAATTAGATGCTGAAACAGAACAAAAAGACCATTTGAAAGGAGGAAATACAATTGAGGTATGAACAAAGCAAGCATGCTCTTTCATTATAGACATTTAAATATAATATGAAAGATGAAAACTTAATTTCTTTCATTCCAGGGTGAGGAGGAAGAGGTGTGTTACGCATCTTTAGACGTGATAACCAGGAGACAAAAACAACGCAAGACAAAGCGAGTCCAGTGTTCTGACTTCAGTACATATGCTCAGGTCAGAACAGAAACAGAGTAGAACTAAAGTAGGACTGAAGCGCTTTCCGAAATATTCCAAATATGATAAAAGTTGCAGGTTTCATCATCATATGCAATGATACAAGGTAGTGGAATTTCTACCATTACATCTGAATGTTAAATATATACTTGGATACCAGTCCCACTTTATATTAAGCATCTTTACTAACATTTAAATTAATAATTTTTAGTAATTTCTTATTATACACACATATTTTTACAGGTACTTTTATTTTAAATAGCTGCATATAGCTGTAATTACACTCTAAAAATGCTGGGTTGTTTTAACCCAATTTTACTGTAAAAAAATATTGTGATTTTAATGGTAAAAGATTAGATGTGATAGATCTAATGGTGAATTTCATGTAATTTTACTGTAAAATACCGTTAATTTAAAAGTTTTTAAAGTGAAAATGAACAACTCATTGTATAATTTACAGTGAAAACCCGTACATTGACATTCCCACAATTTACCTTGTGACCTTCGCATTTGATGTTTTTTTTTTGTTTGTTGTTGAAATAACTGTTTCTTCATAGTTTGCTTAGTGTTTTTCTAATCAGTTATGTACATTGGGTTTTTATGTGACATTTAATGTTGTTAAAATTAATGTTTATTGCCTCTTTCAAATTTCATGTGTTACCATGATTTAATGTTTGAGTGAATGACACTTTGCAGCTTCTATATATTAAAAGTACATTACTTGTGGAAGAGCTACATGTGATGAGCTTCCATATATCATGACTCTCATCACTTTAATAATTAATTAACAAAAAACTTTAATTAACTGGTAATTTAACATTATATCAAATAATGAACTACGGTTTATTTCTGTAGATTTTAAGTTAAGTCTGTAAAACTTTGCTATCATAAAGTCTTGCTACTGTATTTTATACGGTAAATTTCTGGCAGCCACAGCTGCCGGTATTTTACCGTAAATTGAACACATTTTATTTTACAGTGTATGGACAAACCCAGCCATTTGGTTACATTTTTAAATTTCATTTTTAAAAATTAAATTTCAACCCAGCATTTTTTAGAGTATAATATCTGTAATTACATCTATAATTAGACTGTTGATCCTTCCCTGCCTCCTTACATCTAACCATACCATGAATATATCCCTAATCCCACCTCAACAGAAGCAAATGTGTTTTTAATTCAAAAATGAAGACAATAAGCGTTTTACCTAATTTTTTTATGTTTATGTTAGTGCATAATTAAAGACACCTAATATAAAAAGTGACAGGATGCTTCAAACTTTTTCACACTTTTCACACACAGATACTTGTTTTTACTGTCTATTATTCTTACTGTTGTTACTTTGTTGTTACTCTGGTCCTCATTGCAGTACAATGTTGTTTTCCTCTATTAAAAGTTTCTTTGTGGACACACAGCGATGACCTAAATAACAGGATGTAGAAGTGGGTTTCCTGTATGAAGTGGGTATTAGTTTAAGGTATTTCTATTTGTAAACTCAATGATTGCAGCGTTTATCTGACTCATTTTTATAGCCTCATTAAATTTTCCCAAAACTTAATCTGTGGGGGGTGAACGTGAAGCATTTTGTGCTTGCTGAGTATATTTGCGTTTGGATAACGGTAAGCAAAATGTAATCAGGCAAACTGTCTATCTTATTTTAAGACTATCTATCTCATGACTTTAAAGTTAAAAGACAAATGCCCACTTAAGTTGCTTTTTGCAAGTAAATATATATATTCTCGTCTTTTCCTCTTATTTTTCTTTGAACTGGTGCATGTTAGGTCGGCTTCTTTTTCTAAAGCTTGTAATTCTTTTGAAGAGTTCAAATCTAATTGAAATCAAAAATTGTAATATTCAAAGCATGAGAGTTGGTCTTCAAAGGAGTTTTAATGGAGAGCACCGTCTGTGTCTTTTTCTGATGAAGGGTCTTGCTTTGTTTCCAGTTAAAAAGATAGCCATCTTAACCACAAATGTTTCCATTCAGTTTAGTGCTGTGTGCATACGAGACAGAAGAAAGAGGTTGATCTGTGTAAATGTTCATGTGGTGAGTTTGTGGTGACATTTTTTTTCTATGCAGTGTCTGCAAAAGGTTAGGGTCTTTAGACTCTATAAAGGATGAGGAAGTATCACATTTACTGCATCACTCAGAATGAAGCACAAAGAGCTGGTTTAATTTTTTTTTGTATTTGCTTTCCTTTTTACGTTGGCAATGCATCCCACAAGACCTCTCAAATGATGTTCAAATGATGCTAAATCAGTGCTATGCCATTTAATATAAATGTGTCAAAAGGAATATGCATCTCTTATCTGTAGAGTTTGTCACTGTATATAATGGGCAGTTATTGTTTATAGTATGGCAGTGTATATTTTTACTTGTCCATGATCTGTTATTATAGACGTCTAAAAGAGACTCATGGTGGTCAGAGCCATCAGTGAATTTAGTTTTGTTAGGGGCCTGAGGGGGGCAGTGTGGGTTTGCTTTTTGTAAAATGTCTAAAACTTTTCAAATAATTGTATTTATATATTTATATATAATCTTTATAAAATAATCTTTTTTCACATTTATTTGACTAATATGTTAAAGCACATTTTTTATATGAAGGTTATATAAGCAAATAAATGTGTCATATAAATTAATAAGTTTATTCAGTGTCCCTCGTTGTGCTTGGCAAATCATTAAAGATACATTAAAGATAAGTGACAAAAGAACATATGTGGTAAGAATATATTTGTTTATTATTATTGATGTTTAAAGTGTAACTTTGTGTGTGTGTGTGTGTGTGTGTGTGTGTGTGTGTGTTTCTGGCCCTATAATATGAAATGACAAAACATCATAGCCACTATCTGTGACCAGTAGGTGGCGCTCATGGAGTTTCAGCAACAGTGTTTTGCTGTTCAGTCCAAAAAAAAAAAAAAAAAATAAATAAAAATCTATTCCACACTTTGCAGAAAGCAAGTCTGACAGAGAAAACTGGATTATAGAGTTATTAGAGGGTTGCAGTAACCCTGTTTGTAGTTGAATTAAAAGGGCAAATAAGGTGTGGGTGATAACGAGATATTTAGACAAGTCCCTTATTTATTCTATAACGAAAGTGCCTCATCTGCACAACATCTTTATTTGAAACCCCAAAATCTAACACAGTCTCATCCCAAGACGTCATATTGGGACGTCTTGGGACGTCTTTTGACCATACGTCAACATCCGCCTTTAAACGTCAAGGTTATTATTATTAGCTGATTTTGTATTAAACTATTATTAATTATCAATAACTAAAACTAAAACCATAAAAACTTTCCGTTCCATAAAATAAACCTTTACTGAAATGAAATAAAATGTAAAAAAACCCCTACAGTATCCATTTATTATTATGATTATGATTATGGATTACCAGGCTATATGGTGTTTATTGAATACAACTGTTTTGCTTTATTCAACAGCTCAAAAAACAAGCACAGCAGTGGTGATTCGTTCCTGAATGAATCAGCATTTTTGAACGAACCAGTGATCAGTCGGGAATCCATTTTTCATTGCACTATACCTTAAAACACTATACTCACTTGAGACAGTGGCTGCGTCCGAAATCACATACCATCATATACTATAAAGTAGGTGAAAAACAGTGTGAAACAAAAGAAGAATGTCTGAATTCACAGCACTTATAAAAGAGTAGGCAAAAAGTATCAGGATGACCTTCCTCTTCCTGAAGTGTGCATACGTTGGACACTTTACTATCCCATAGGGCCACAAATTAAAATGACCTGTGATGGCGAATATAGTATGTCAAGGTCACACCAAGGTTTTATTTATTTATTTTATTTTTAAGTTTATTTGAATAGGGACAATGTTACATATGTTACATAAGCTCATGTTCCATACTACAGGATTTTAGTAATTCTCAATATTAGTCCCTAGTGGGCCTTTACATAAAATTAAACAATACACAGTTAAAATAAACATAATAATACAGTATAACACAATATAAGCTGAAAGTCAGTGGTCACATTTCTGACATCTGATCAAAGAGTCTTTGCGTTTGTTTTTGAAAAGGACACAGTTTGACCCTCCTTTCAGTTTAGTGGGTAAACAATTCCAGGCAAACAGCAGGTGATGGCTTGCTGGCCAATGGATGCCCCCATTCGCTTTCCGGGTGCTGGTTTATCCTCTTGCTCATTCCAGGAAACCCCTAATGGGCATCATACTATTGCTGTAGCTGAATAAAGAGAAGATTGAAATGCTTAGATTGATTTATTGAATGTTGTCTTTTGTTGGACAAGAGGTTCATAAATGCTTCTCAGGTTTAGAAAGATATTTAACGCATGTTGCTTTTTCAAATGCACATTATAAGTTACTCAAACTCACAGTGCTGGAGCAGACAAAGCTGTACGCCACTGACAAGCTGCACATAAAAAATAATCCGCCAATTTCATTATTTTTATTTTTATCAATTATTATTAATTGTGCAGCCCTATTCTATATAGTATCAATGTGTGTAGTATGAATGTAGATCTGCCATGTTGTCATTATAATGTGACCTACCAGCATCAGCTGTGTCACTTCAATGCCATTCACAAATCCTCTCCCGTGGCCTCATGGGATAGTAAAGTGCCTATGCACACTTTAGAATTTTGCAGGAAGTAGTTGGCTATCCGGGTTTTTTTTTTTTTTTTTTACACATACCACATACTCTTTTATGAGTACTTTGAATTCAGACATACTTATTTTGTCACATACTATTTTTCACCTATTGGGAAGTATGTGATTTCGGATGCAGCCTTGGTCTTTGAGAAGGTAAAATGCTTACAAAGGGTCACAATGTAAAACTTGTGCAAAAAGGGCCAAAGGCAACTCCTACTAAAAAATATTTTTCTATAAAAATGTGTTTTTAAAATATGTAAAAATAAAATGTTCTATGTGGAATTTGTTGTGGGCCACTGTAGACTCTGAGGGAAAATAGTATCATCAGTTTGACACAAGAAATACACATGCAAACCTAAAAACAACAGGAATAAAATAGCTTGACCTTAATTTGGATTTGGCATGAAGTTTATTTTGCCTTGCGGCATTAATTTCTGTTTCCATGTGAGTAGATATCAGACCTTCTTTCAGCTTAACAACAGAGAAGTCAAACATAGACAATGTCGATTTTGGTCAGTCGAGGAACAGATGATTTCCTTCGTGGTTGTGCCAG